ACCCTGAAATACAGCTAAAGCCTTTCCTTATACAAAGAAATACACAATGGGAAGATTCTAATTTGCAAAGGCTTAAATATTATCACTATGGATTGAAAACCTCAACTCAGTTGGGGATGCTTGTGATTTCCTCCTCACTAGACTCTTCTCACCTGGTGTGTGCCGAGATTGCAGAGTATGACGTCTCCAGAGGCTGTTGCCACACACACAGATTCCTGATCCAGCAAGTCCTGAATACCAACAATGCAGCCACTTCCATCCTCAGGAAGAAAGCCTTCTGCCACCAGAGGAATTTCATTTTTCACCTTTCGCCAAAGCAAACACAGAAGCAAATTAACATAGTCTACTCTGCAGAACAATCATAAGTACCAGAAATAAAATATTCTCTAATGCTTCTTTCATAACATAAAAGTTTTAAAAATTTGTTTCTAGATTAAAGCCCAAAATTTCATTTGAGAAATATTATAACTCTATCACTTTTAACAAGAAAAACAGGCAATACGGCCTTCTTGCCAAACACAAAACAAACAAAAATAAGAAGTATGGTCTCTTTTAATGTGTCCAATAAAACAGCAAACCAAATACTGTGGCTTTTCTCTTCTGGTATTAGGAATAAAATTCAGGGCCTTTGTGCATGAACTGGGCTTTATCCCCAGCTCCATAATTCTCGTTTTCTAAGACTTCTATAATAAGGGGGAAAAGCAATACAATGTAATTTCCCAAAACACATAAATAGCAAAATATAACAAGGGAATATATCAAAACCAACTCATGCAACCTTCAGAAAGTTACACAGTAAAATCCAGCACTGAAGATTGGGATTTAGCTGGCCCAAACATATTTTCAAAAAGTACCATAGACAGGGCCTGGGAGTATTGCTCAGTGGCAGAATGAGTGCTTAGTATGCAGAGGCCCAGGGTTCAATCCCAGCACCACAGAATAATAAATAAGTAAAATTAAAAAGTTCAGGGGCTGGGGATGTGGCTCAAGTGGTAGCGCGCTCGCCTGGCATGCGTGCGGCCCGGGTTCGATCTTCAGCACCACATACAAACAAAGATGTTGTGTCCGCCGATAACTAAAAAATAAAAATATTAAAAATTTAAAAAAAAAAAAAAAATTAAAAAGTTCAAATTTTCCTGTGCATTCTTAGGTGAAAACCACTGCTATAATAGTTCTTACACAGTAGAAAGGGTAAAAGGGAGGCAGCCCATGTAAAATATAAAGTAGCTTAAAATAGTAGCAGAGGTTACTATTTAAGTTATATCTAGTATGCTATCTATAAAAAACAAATGGAATGTTTATTAAGGAAGATGTAAATTCATTAAGATATAAAAGAAGACTATTTGGGGGAAAAAAGTCTGAAAGAAAACAAATTAAAGATTATGTCAAATGCTAGCATTTTCCATCAATAACTTACTTCTCTTGTGACAGGATCTACTTCTATCAGTCCATGTTCTGAACCAATGAGCACTGTTCCTTGCTCAGTTCGGAGAGAGAAGCACTGAGGTTTCCCTGGTGCTTGAATATCCCTGAACTCCAGAGTCTGAAGCAACTTTAGATTTCGCATGATGAAGCAATGCTCAAGAGGAAAATACAAACTTCCCTTGATGAAGCATTAATTCCTAAAAGAGAAAGGAACAGCTTAACAATGGCAAATGATCACACTCACATAAAGTCTAATGATTCTGGTGGGGTAGAGAAACAGTAGAAAGAACAAGCAAGAGAGAAAACTTCTATGAACATACATCTCCGTGCAGATATGGGGCAGCAAACTTACTGCAGAGCTCTGGTCTACAAACTGGGGAATTCTGAAACCTATTTTCTACTCTCACTCTGTAGGAAGGCCAAGAGTCTCAACTTCAGTTTTTTCTTGAAAAAAATATTTAAATATCATTTAACTCCTAAGGAAAGTGGAAAAACACAAAATAAATGGGAAAACATTTTATTTTTGCATATAGAATATATTTATAACCTGACAGATTTATGAAGTTATAAGGAAAAAAGATATCCCGTTGATTAGAACTATATAAAAAGCTATGTATGAGGGCTGGAGATATAGCTCAGTTGGTAGAGTGCTTGCCTCGCAAGCACAAGGCCCTGGGTTCAATCCCCAGCCACACACACACACACATACACACACACACACACACAAACTATGTATGTATACTGGCAACTGAAAGGAATCTGTAATAAAACAACTTTCATATTCACCAAGACACATTTACTAGTAAACTGCTTTATATACACAAAAAATAAAAATTTAAATAAAAGCACTTACTTTTATCGAAAAGAAAATATTGTGAAATGACAAGTTTGCTTAAAAATGATGACCAACATCTTGAAACATTTGATGGCCTGATGGAAATACTTAAAGAAACTTCATTTTCCTGGCCAAGCTTTTACCAATGCAACAGAAAAGATGAGAAAAGCATGCTAAATATGACATCTACTTTGTCTGGAAAAATCAGACTTGCTTTAACACTCAACATTATCTAAGTAGGAAAAAAATATCAATGTGCTGGGTATTTATGCTTCAATCCCTTTAAGGGTTATGACTGAAGTCTGTACATGTTAAGGATGGCAATTACACAGGTCACACTGGCCTGTCACCTTAATCCAAGGTGAATTCTCTCATCTTGGCATCTCATGCATATGACACTGAAAGAATAAAGATGAATCAATCCTTATGGTATTAGGCAGATGTCAAGTGTAATAGGAATAATATAATATATGAGGATTAAGAGAAAGCAAGATCATACAAGGTGAGAACCAAAGCAAATAATGAATGGCTTTATTACATTTTGGTGACGTTATATTCAAGAACTTCTGAAAATTATTTGAACCAAATGATACCATGCAGGTTTTTCATTTAAACATAATTACATAAGGTGTGGGATTTTCAAATCATAAAAATCACGTCTTTTATCTTTAAAGATGGCCACTGGCATACAACTGAAAGGCAGATGTGAGAAGAGAGAATGCATGGCAAAGGAAGTAAGCCAGGTACAGAGAGCAGATAAGGACAGGCAACAGAGGCCACTGTGCAGAGTGTCCTAGCGGGTTTTCACACTGGTTTATCTGATACTCATGCTGTCACCTCTTAAATGGGAAGTTAAAGCAAAAGAAAATGACGGGATTTTTTCCTATTATCTTGTAGTTCCTGTCACTTTCACCCCAGTAATGGGCCTTCACCCTTGAAGGGGCCTTCTATCCCCCTCCCCATCTCTAGCACTCCCAGAATCAGCCCCATCAATTCCAGCCCCAGAGGCGGCCTCACCCACCTCCAGGCCTCTGAAATCCAAACCAGGGGCATCTCCTTGGAGTTACTGAGTTAAACACCTCAAGTCTGAGGCTTTGCAGTGCCTTTGTGCCAAGGTTTAGGACCTGATGTCTCCAGCACTGTCCCTCGTTTTGACCCCCGACCTAGCTGCTTTATTCAGCTTACCTTTTGTCACTGCACTGCTCATGTCACTTTTGGTTCCTCCAACAAGCATTTAACTAATTCTTCACATTCAATGCTCCTGAAATACTGTGTGGTTTCTACTTTTCTGACTGAACCCTGACAAACACAGCAAACAACTAGGGTTCTGTGATCACCATGTTTTCAAAATCAGTGAGTTCACAGCTAGCCAAAGCAAGCTCATCAATCCCCTCCACCCTAATCCCTTTAGTCTGAAAACAAACTTTCTGAAATTTCCCACCCACCATCCTACTCCCTTACTTTTCAGAGGAAGGCATAACCCCTGTTCTTTTAAGACTAGGAAAGGCACAACCTTCAAATGCCCCAGGACCTTGGCATGTTAGTACTCTTTGACATCTGCAACCTCCAACTCCCCTGCCTCCACAGATTCAACTTATTCCAGCCCTTCAAACTGCTAATGATGCCTCCACAGCATTGATCAACCCTGGATCTCCGAATTTTCTGAAAGCTCCTTCATTTTCTTCCTTTGCCCTTCACCTACCAATCTCTGGGCTAATCACTGTACCCATGACTACAAGTACTAAGTAGATAGCTACTATGATGATCAGACAGACTAAATACCTAGTCCTGACTGAACTTGTCTCAATTGCTTTAAACCCACATTGTTAAGCCCATGTTGTTACCACAAGCATATCAAAAGCAATGTGAAGGGCTTGCTATTCTTCCACAAAACAATTCATCCTATTTGGGGAATTAGCGTTTTTGCCCTGTCCCCATGCTAAAATACCTTATGCTACGATCCGGTTTGTGACATCAAAACTCGCTAAGTGCTAGGATGTGAAGATAAAGATTACACAGTCACTGCCACAACTGTTTAGCGGGGAAAGGGGGAGTAAGCCACATAGTATGCCACACTGGATGGAGAAGCACAGGAGACACTACTTACACTTACACACACACACACAAGAAAATCTCAGGCGCGAGAAGAGGACCCACAGCACAATTCCCGAACCTCGAGTAACTACTGCCTTCCACCGTTGATCAATCAATTCACCTTGGGCAGTTATTATCTATTCCCTGCAAAGAATCCGCAGGCTGGGTTGAGCGCAGCAGAATAGCAGCAAGTCCCGCCCGGCTGCGACGCCCCGAAGCGCCCCAGATGGCCGCGGGGGAAAAGCCTGCAAGAGAATTCAAGGCTCGAGGGAAGAGGTAGCCCCACGCCGCACTCGGCTCCTGGTCTGCAGCGGGCCTCGACGTGCACAGCACCAGGAAGCCTCGGGGCGGACAGGGCCCGGTCCCGTGCCGCAACTGCAGTTACTGCGCACGAACACTCACCTACGCGGCGCTCCGAGGCCCGCCGTGTGCGCACGTGTCTCCGTCTGGGCAACCAAGCTCTCGCGGCGCGCGCTGACCCTCTCACGGTGATCACCCGACCTCAGGTGTAGACGCTAAAACGTGGCTGAGCAGCAAACAGTGCGACCAAGACTCAGGAGCAAGGCGGCGCGGGCGTGACGTCACGCAGCGCAAGGGGCGTGGCCAGGCTGGGGGGCGGCTCCCCGGATCAATAGCCGTGGCCTTCTCCGTAGGAGCTGGAGCATCCGCGCTGGCTTCCGTCCTCCTGCACCCTCTGTTTTACTTGATCCCCAACTTGACAATGGAACCCACGCACGGTAATTGACAGTGGGCGGAGCCCGTGGGCTAGGGAGCAGCGCACGTGCGCATCACGCGAGCCGCGCGCCGGAAGGACTTCTCTGGCCAAGACCTGCAAAGAGGAGCCGCAGGATTGGGGCCACGGCGCGGGAGGTCGCCATGGCTACAGAGCCCGCGGCCGCCGAGCCCGCGATTTCGGAGCCCGCGGTGCCGTCGCTCGTGGATCGTTACTTCACTCGCTGGTACAAAGCGGGTAAGTGCGGGAAGAGGGCGATCTCCACTGCACCACATCGGCCTGATGCTGCGGGGACTACTGCGACAGATCGTAAATCACGCGCGCCTCCTGGCGCTTCCTCCCAGCATCCGAAGGAGCCGGACGTCAGTGCTCCCCTCCAGGCCGCGGCAATGACGTTTGCAAAGACTTGGAAGCCTGAAATACAGCCAGGCGCGTTCTAGATTTGGCGAGTGCCCTAGGGTTTGCTTGTTTGACTTTGCGCAGGCTAAACAGGTACTCCAGGCAGTTAAGGTCCTTGAGTTCCTGGGGAACTTGAGGGGCTATAGAAAGAAAGATTCTATAGATCCTATAGAAAGTAGCCAGTTCCTTAAAATTAGCAGGTAGAGGCAGAGGGATGTAAACATGCAGAATCTACAGTTTTGTTATCCGCTGGTATTGTCCATTTTGCCATACAGAACCAGGCATTCCTGTGGTAGTGTTTTGTGTAACCTGTAAATATCAGTGGGAGGAGCATCACTGGGGACTCTAACCTAATCCCTACTTTCTCCCTTTCAGTCAGGAATAATGGGTGTCCTCATTTATATTATAGCATGTTTTTCTGTTGGTCGAATTTAGGGTAAACAGCCATCCTGGTTCACACAGTATTGAGGGATTTCCTGGAATGTGAGACTTTCTCTGCTAACATCAGGATAGTTTCAGAAATCACCACCAAAACAAAACAAAACAAAAGGCCAATGTAGGATAAGGAATGTGACACTAATTGTATTTCTTTAACAGAAATAATGGGTATAATCATTTTAAAGTGAGGACAAAAGCTACAAGAAGCAGGGGTTTATCACCTTAACATTAAATAAGTGATTCTTGTGGGTCTGGTTCCATTTAAATACTTTTTTTAAAAAAAAACTTTATATTTTTTAATTGATTATCTTCATAATTAATTTATCTCAGTGAAACAAAAAAAAGTATCATGTAATGGTAGTAAATATTGATTTAGCAACCAACAAACTTATTTACTCTTCTAGATGTCAAAGGAAAACCCTGTGAAGATCACTGTATACTACAGCACTCTAACCGGTAAGCCAGTCAAAAATTATAAATTATCAAAGACATTTTCTTTTTTTCTGGTATTTAACCTGGTATGGTCTTGGATTAAAGAGCTTATTAGGGCTGGGGCTCAGTGGTAGAGCGCTCGACTAGCACGTATGAGGCTTTGGGTTCAATCCTCAGCACCACATATAAATAAAGGTATTGTGTGCAACTACAACTAAAAATAAAATGAATATTTTTTAAAAAAAAAAAAAACTTATTAAATGAACATCACCAAATTACCTTCCACTTGTTGAAATGGTATTATTATAGGAGTTTGGTTGGCAGAAATTGAACATATAATTTTGATTAACTAAACACTCAAATGGAACACATCTTCAGTTATCTGCTACCTAAAGTAGCCACTGCCAGAGCCCACGGAGACCATCACAGTAGAGGCATGTGTGGTATGCTGTATACACAGGAAGACCTTACTTTCCTCTCTTCTACTCCAGTGCTACCTAAATCCCTGTGTTACTGTTCACTTTCCTAGAAAGGAAATTCAAATCCACTCTCTCATCTATTATTGAATTTCCCATACTGTAGTTAGGCTCTAATAATAGCCAAAGGAAAAAGAAGGGGGATGATAGTTTTACTAAACAAATGTCAGTTCATATAGACTAGTGCAGGTGGGAACAGTGTTACAGGAGGAATAATTATACCAAGAATTAACACAGAATCAATTTTTTTCTTCCTATAGAATATGTGTCATCACATTGGCAGAATCTCATCCAGTTCTTCAAAGTGGAAAAACAATTAAAAGCATTTCCTATCAGATCAGTACCAATTGTAGCAGACTTCAGAACAAGGTCTCTGGGAAATTTAAGCGGGTATGTCCCTATAATTCTCTGATTATTACCAACAAAAGTCCTCTATATTCATGATATAATAGATCTAGTCTACCTTAAGATCCAGATATGTATGCTCAGGAATGTGTGTATCCATTCTTTTCTGGAAGTTCAGGGTGTTGATTTTAAGATACTCCAACCACAAAGAAATTCTCTCAACAACAACAAAAAAATAGGTATTTCAGGAGGTGTGGTATCTATCATGTTAGGTTCTATATCACCACTCCTCTTGTCCCAACTCTAATACCAAAATAACAAGATATTTTGACTTTTCTAGACTTACTAAACTAGTATCTCAAGTTATATAAAATTTAAGTGATTATTCTTTACCATGTTTTCACATGTAAATTAAAAGAAAAAAATCCTGAAACAGTAGGAAAAAAAATCAGTCTGAGAAAATAATGTGGTGTTAGCTTCTTACCATTTTTCCACACTAAAACATTACCGGTCAACACATATTTACCCATGTCTTTCACCTCCACTACCACCCAATGCTCAGACAACATGTTCTCTTGATCCTCTACAACTCTAGGCAAAACAAACTCTCTAATAAAAGAATATCATGCCGAGTACAATTTAATTACATATTCAAGTGTCCTAACAAACCCATCGGACTGGGAAAGTTTCTGCAAATTATGCTTACTGTTCCAGGACACTGTAATAGCATGCCTTATAATTCCTGACTTTTCAACCAGAAACAAATGGACATTAAAAAGCATGTACCTTTCTTAAAAGAAAAAGTCTACAAATACATATAATAGTTAATGCTAATGGATCTCTTGTCAGTGTCCAAAATAGCAACACTACTGTTATTAACAAAGAGCAAAGGACCTGCATACTGAACCCAGTACAGATAAGTTTTAATTGTATATCAACTGCTAATCATTTACTCTCTCAAGGGAGGTGATAAGAATGGGTCAAAGCACTTCTCTTTTGATACAAGCCCAATTGTAGATAAGCCCTCTGGAACAAGTTCCCACTTCCTACTTCCCAAAAGTGGAGAGTCACAGTGACACCTGTATTTTGAAATGAAGTCCCCCCCACATCGCGGGGTGAAACCAATGTAGTAATAGTCTCTGAATACCATGCTGTCATGTTTTGAGAGGTAAATTAAAAAGTCATAAAGAACAGTATCTTAAATGCCTGTTTGCTACAGGAAAAGTTCCTGAAAAGAATAGGGCAGCACATGAGACGTGCCTGCCCTGACTCTCATGAGCCTCCTTGTAGGTATTTGTCAGACCTCCTCAGATTCCTCCATCTAATGGGAGTGCATGCAACAGTAATCTTGACATCACAAACAGATATGTGTATGGAAATGTGGTATTGATTTAGGGGTTACAGGATAATAGGTAAATCATTTTTATGTGGCTAATTAAAACTCTTTTCCACATTTCTCTTAAATGGAATATTTTAAAATTTTATTTGTTTTTAACTTTTTGCAGGACTGGAGCTGGAACCCAGGAATGCTCTACTACTGAGCTAAATCCCCAGCCCTTTTAATTTTGAGAAAGTCTCGCTAAATTGCCCAAGCTGACCTTGTAGGAACTTGCAGTCCTCCTGTCTCAACCACTTGAGTTGCTAGGATTACAGTACACTCAGCTTGTTATTTTTTTAAATTAGAAAAGTCAAAAGAAAAAAAAAAAGAAAAATCCCTTCTTCAGAAAGTCTGAGTGATTAACCCTGATAAAGAGGTTTCTTTATTAAGTTCTAATGTTTTTACATTAGGTAGGAATCTTTTTTTTATATTTATTTTTTAGTCTTAGTTGGACACAATACCTTTATTTTGTTTATTTTTTATGTGGTGCTAAGGATCGAACCCAGGGTCTTGCACATGCTAGGCGAGTGCTCTACTACTGAACCACAACCCCAGCCCCTAGGTAGGAATCTTAATGAAATTAACTTTGAACACTATGGCTATCATACCCTGTCATGTTGAATTTTATATTATTATTTGTGGTAGATTTTTCCACATTTTGAAATCTTTACACATAACTATTTGTAACTTTCTCATTTACAGTTGAGAAAATACATTATTAGTCTTGTTTCAGTCAGCTTTTTTACTGCTAAGATCAAAAGACCTGATAAGAATAATTTTAGAGGAAGAAAAGTTTATTGGGGGCTCATTTTTTCAGAGTCTCAGTCCAGAGATGGCTGATTTTGTTGCTCTGGACCCATGGCAGAAGGGTATAGAGGAGGAGAGCAGCTCAGGACATGGCCAACAAGAAGCAGAAAGAGCCCACCAGAGACAAAATATATACCCCAAAGGCATGCCCCCGGTGATCCACCTCCTCCAGCCACATCCTATCTGCCTTCAGTTACCACCAAGATCCCCATTAAGCAGATTAATGCACTGATTAGGTTAAGGTTGTCACAACCCAATCATTTCACCTCTCAACTTTCTTGCATTGTCTGACAGTCTTTTCGGGGACATCTAATATCTAAAGAGTAACAAGTTTATAACTAAATTACCTGTTATCACATATAGCTTAGTCAACTGTTTAGTATAAGATTGGTACCAAGCACATAGTAGGCACTTAGTATGTAAATGTTTGAATACATGAATGGTTTCCATGTATTTAAGTGATTTTTATTTAAATTAACACCAGTTTCAGAAGTAGATTGTATTTTAACACTAAGGGGTGCCTCTCAAAGGAAAGTGGAATGTATATCAATTAATCACCTCGCCCTTCTCATTTCCTAGGGGGCACAATTTCTAACAGAACTTGCACCTCTGTGTAAGATTTACTGCTCAGATGGAGAGGAATATACCATATCTAGGTGAGTAACTTTTTAACCACAATTTAGGGGGAAAGCCACAAATACCTTCATTTACTTAAGGAAAAGTAACTATAAAAATTTGTTGTTTCTTAAAAATAATTCTTTTTTAAACAGCTGTGTTAGAGGACGGTTGATGGAAGTGAATGAAAACATTCTCCACAAACCATCTATTCTTCAAGAAAAGGTAAGAAAGAGGAGGAAAATATCCCATTCATGTACCTTTCTTCAGCCCTTGAATCATTTGACAGTATTAAATATTCTGTTTCTTTTCCAGCCATCTACTGAAGGCTACATTGCAGTTGTGTTACCCAAATTCGAGGAGAGCAAAAGCGTAACAGAAGGGTTACTGACACAAAAACAATACGAAGAGGTCATGGTGAAACGCATTACTGCCACAACAGCTACATCATGAGGATGAGATGGAGTGAAAAGTGCTGTAGGACACTTACCCACCCTGGCCTCAAAACGTCAGTGCACTAAAAGAGGAAACCCAGAGTATGTGAAGCATACTCAGCACCCGCCATCAGCTAGGGAGGCCTAATCCTTCCTGTCACCTAGTTTCCCTTTTGTCTTCATCCTTCAAGATCTGTCCTGCCTGGGGACTCATTATGTTGTCAACTGACAAGCAAGGGATGTTTTTCTGATTAAAAACAACAAATCTCTTTCAGGAAAATTGGAAAATGGAAAAATTTTAGGTAGCCAAGTAAAAGCAATTTACCTACCATACCTATGACGTAGAGGAATACATGCCATGTATTTATCATTATTGCCTGAGTTTTCTGTCAGTTTAATATTTTTATTTTTTTAGTTGTAGGTGGACACAATATCTTTATTTCATTTTTATGTCTCTCACATTCTAGGCGAGCACTGCACCACTGAGCCACAGCCACAGCCCTCAGTTTAATATTTTGAAAAACGGTACCCAGCCTTTCTTCAGTGACATTACCAAAGTCTCATCCCATCCCTTTTGCTTCAACTCCTCTGCCTTTAGGTTGTAGGAAAAAAATAGGAGTGCTAAGTATATCTTCATGGCTCCTTATGGAGCTGGGCCTCCCCTCTACAAGGAATGAGATCTCTAACACTGACTTCTTAAATTGCAGACACAAAAAAGGCTTTGCTGGAGCTTTCCTAGCAAATGGATATAGGACAGTGTTCATCTGGTTCTTGCAATACATAGGTTGTAGTTCACTCGGTCTCACACATTTTAGGTACAGTTAATGTCTAGCACAGAAATGACAGAATAATTCGCCCAAAGGCATAGATGCCTTTGAACCAGAATAAAGAATTTCACAAACTAGGGGGAAAAAAATCCCACTGAATGTATGGTTTAACTTTGAGCTGGGGGGTGTTGCTCTTTGGTGGAATGCTTACCTAGTATGCATGAGGACCTGGGTTCAATCCCAAGCACCACAAAAAACGGATTATATACTAAATTTACATGATTTCAAAAAAGAACTTCACATCTTATTTAAGGGATGCAACACATACATACATAGATATACAAAGGGAAAGAAAATCACTTGATTTGTAGGTTCCTTTGGTTCTTTATCCTCTGATGCTGTTGAAATAATGCTGTCCCTTTCCCATCCCCACTCACGCTTCCATGAGAATATTCTCAGGTATCTAAAAGAGTATTTTGTAAATAAAACTTGAAAAGTTTTTTTTAGTTCATAAGAAAAAATGTCTTTAAACTTGAATGTCAACATGACTGTCCTCTATATATGACCCCTGACAGGTAGCAACTCCTACAGTGATTGTGCTGAACTGAATATATAAGCACAAGCCAGGAGACCCCCCGCCTCAGCATAAACACTGATTCTTGAAGTCTTCATACAGCAATACTAGAGATAGGAGAACTGGGTGTCTTATTTTACAAATTACATTATATCATTCAATTTTTATTGTAATTTGAGACTTTTGGTTTCACAGAATAAAAATCATGTTTGATGACTTGATTATTTAAATAGGTATTTTATGAAGGTCACTAACAGCTGAGTGCATCCCATCCCCCCCATGACTATAGTAAAAATATTTGACAAATACCAACTAGCTAGTTGGTGACAGAATGATTCTTTAGACTCTTTTGTGAACATGGATTGTGTTCACTGACACAGATAAAGATCATGATCATCAGACCAGCTCATATCTACTGCCTTTTGCAATTGATGACATGACTGATTTCAAAATGAATTTCAAAGTGTTAGGGCATAAGCTGACACCATTCCAAAACAGCGTTAACTGTATAGTATCACAGGGAGAAAACCCATAAACCAGATCCTTCAGTCAAAGACCCATCCTACAAAAACAGAAAAAGCTTCAAACACTAAAATTAAAAATACTCAAAAAGATGTTTATTTGTTTTATGATGAACATTACCATGCCACATATATAAAATATATTATTATTCAGAATTTAAACAGTTCATTGGTTCCAGTGTCCTTTTAACCTGCCATTCTGCCAACTAATAATAAGAAGGGTAGTTAGAAATTGTTTTATAAGCCAGTAAGAAAGATTTAGGATTCCACCTAGTAGGGTACATTGGCCAACTATGCTAGAACTAGAACCAAAAGAGCTACCTTTGGCTGGGAGTGTAGCTCAGTGATGAGAGCTTACCTAGCATGCACAAAGCCCTGGTTTTGAGGGCTGCAAAAAATTTTAAAATCCATCTCCTCCAGGAGTTGCTCCAGGGTTTTGTGAGTGACTTCCATTACCTGCCTTGGAGAAGGGACACATGGCATAATAACCCTTACACTGTGAAATGCTTGTTAGAAAACCACTGCCACTAGCATGGGTGGTCTGCTAGGGCATCCAAGGGGCCCCTGTCATACATGGATAAGGAATGAAGGAAGAGACCAAAGGTTAAAGGAAAGCCCTGTGTTCACCCAGGTTACTGTATATTTTCTCCTGAAATTGGGATTCTACAGAATAAGCTTAAATATAATAGTTAAGGTACAATATGCCAAGTTGAGCCCTTATTCAAAATAGCTTCTTTGGATTCAACTGTCATTAAGACAGTCGGAGATATTTGGTTTAATGTTTAAAGAACATTATTAATGCAATGTCACATTTTAAAATAGTACTGTAGTTAGAATTCTAGCAACTACCGTGGCATTTATTAGTTGTCAGAAAGCATCACAATCTGAAGATCAGAAAATAAAGCAAGATTTCAGTGCTGTTTTCATTATAAAACTGTTGAATTTCTGAAAATATAAAGAGTCGTTTGTTTCTTAAAAATGTCAGCTTTGCCACATGATGTTCCAGAGATCGGGCCCCAGAGCTTCTCAAGTTTTTATGTCCACAGCGTCTTTATTTGTAACCGAGACCCATCTGTTATTTTCCATCTGAAGCTGGAAAAGTTAATGACAATTAGTTTCTGCTTTACTCTGAAACAAAAAAAAATTAAGTAGTAACTATTATTTTCTTTTGCATTTTCCTTTAAGCTAATAAAGTGAGTTTAATATAGAAAACTGTCTCACCTTCTTCAGCAATTTGTAGCAAAGTGAGAGAAGGTGGATCAAGAGCGCCATCATGGATCTTGTCTTTGTAATACACTTATCGACCTACAGTGACAGAAAGCATGCAAATTAGATTCCAAAACTGGTACTTCTAAAACTTTATCATTTATTTGGTTTTTAAGTGATAACATTTTTCCACTGTGGAAATCTAACAGATTGAGAAAGGTATAAATGTATGATCAGACTCGAAGTGCAGAACATAGGACAGGGTTTGTTGCCCAGATCTCATGCCTGTTTCATGAACCCCAGGAAGAATGGGTGGAAAAGCAATTCATCTACCTCCAACTCTTTAGGAATTTTTTAAAGAGCTCTAAGTAGTGGCAGGGAATCCCCCACTTTATAATTCCTCCTGCTCTGCTCTGTGGACATAAGCCTACATTCCCTCAGATAATTTATGGGAACCCAGACTTAGGCGTTTGTGCCTTATACTCAGGGTAGCTGCTCTGTGTTATGGAATTAATCTACGTTCAAAAAGCTAATTTAATTGGTTAGCCTGTTCCTTGGGGTCAGTTATAACAGCAGATAATAAATAGATAATAAATGATTTTTTTCAGTCAAGGAATGAAAAATGGAAATTAGCCTTCTATATCCTACTTTATTTTAAGAAAAAGGACCTGGAGTAACTTGATGAAAAACAGGTGTACAAGTTTCTCAAGTGTCTCCTTGAGTAATCCCCCTCTCTTTTACCTTTAGAAACATTTTATTCTGCAAAGATGCTTTAGTTACTGTCTGGAGCTGGTGGCATAGAGGAATTAACTTGTTTATTTCCAGAAGAAGCATAAGCTTGTCATCATCTTTCAGCTGAAATATAATTTAGGAAGTTACAACAACCCCATCAAAACTGCATCTTTTAATACTTTAAATACCTTTATATCTTAATATATTCCCAAAGTGGGTATACATGATACCACCACCAGTACTAGACAGGGAGAAGGCAGGTATTACCTGTTTTGAAAAAGCTTGTACACTTGAAGTAAGCTTTAAACCCTCTGCAGCAAAAACCTGGTAGAATGAAAACAATCACTATTTTAGATAGATGTCTTATGGGTTGGTAAGAAATATACACATTAATATTTTCATATAGTTTGAAAAATACGACCTAGACATTAAAAGCAAGTCACAGAACTCCTACATTTTTTGTGTACCCCGGAAACAGGTTTAGCTGAATTCAGAAATTTTCCTGGACCTGATACAAACTAATCACTGGAGAGGCTCCTCTGTAGCTGGAAACTTTCAATTATTCTGAAGGGTTACACAGATCTGTGATACTCAAATTATGTCTGGTTTTGGGAGGGACCCTGAACTCAACTCATAAAATCCCCAACTATAAAAAGATGATGAATCTTGGTGCATGAGGTCAAAAAGGCTAGAACTTTCTTACTTACATCTAACCAAGATTAAATGTGTCACCTATACACATTCCATCACCCAGCCACTTGAGAGGATCGACTCAGTTGTTGGTTTTTTTATTGTTTTCTGACTACCTCTTCACCATGCATTTTATTTACAATTTAGTGAGCAGGAAGAAGAACAGTGAAAAATAGGATTGGACAAGTAAGACAGGAATATTCAGGACATCATGTTAAAATGGTGTGAGAGGTACCGTGGACATAAAGGGATGAAGACTCTGTTTTAGGTGGCAGCAGAAATAAAGGAGAGAATGGAGCAAATATGAAAGTTATTTATAAATAAAAATAACAGATCTTTGTAGTAAACTCGATTAAAAAATAATGAGGAGAAGACTAATTCCAAAGTTAACTTTCACCCTTTATTCAACAGCCTTGACACCTTGCTGCTGTTGGTGAAGTGGTCTCAAGGATCAGAGTCCTTGCTTCCTTCCCTGCCCTTTGAAAGGGAAACCACGAGCTACTTCCAGAATCTAACTGGATGTCTCACTTCCCTGGGTGCTCCTCACCATTCCACATTACCACTCTCTCTTCTGCATATCTTCTCTTTCCTTTTCAGTCTGTAAACTCCTTAGGTCAAGATCCTTGCTATCTTATAGAATAACATGGTTTTAAAACCACTTTAAAGCTGATAACTCCCAAGGTGCTCTCTCCATTCCTGAACTACCCTGTATATTCTACTTGGCAGTTGTAGTTAACATGAGCAAAACAAAATACTTGATTTCCACCTTCTAAATCTGATATTCTCCTTCAGTGTTCCCTTGCTCAATAAATGACACTATCATTTACCATGTTGGCCAAGCCAAAACCTTTAGAATTTAAGTCAGATGATGCTACTGCTTCTGAAAACCCTCGGTGGATTTACCATCATGCTTCACCACTTTCCTCTGACTCACTCCACTCCATCCAACATTGTTCCCTTATTCTTCTTCAGACATATGTAGCCGTACCCTTACACCTCAGGGCCTTTGCACTGGTTCCGCCCATCTGAAATACTCTACCCCCACTTATCCATCCAAGTCACTCTCTTGCTTCATTAATGTCACTATTCAGATGTTACCTACCTCCTTAGAGAAGTCTTTTCTATCCTATCACCTTGATATTCTTGTCCTACATGATTTTATCTACAAGTACTTATATATATGCATTATATACTAAACTTTCTAATGTCTATTTCCTGACACTAAAATATAAGCCTTATGGGGGCAGGGGATTTTTTTGGTTCACTCTTCTCCCCAGAGTTCTTACCCACCATCTGACATGTAGCTCAATAAATATTTGTTGTGTGAAACATGCCATTTTATGTTCATCTAAGTTTAGAGACAATTAGACACAGGTTTAAGGCATATGCTCACACAGAAGGTGAGTAATGTGCAGTATACAATAGAATGAACACAGGCCAAAGTGAACAGAATGAATCCAGAATTTATCGCAGTTGTGTTAAGGGGGAAAGTTCATTTTTAAATCTAATTTATAGAAAAATCCAGAAAAAAAAAAAATATCTGCTATGATTCTTCTTTGTTGACAATCACCCCTTTTAGCTGAAATCCTTTTCCTGAAGTGGTGCAAGCAGAAGGATAGGTATGCCAAAGGAAACTATATGAGAGTGAAACAGTGATAGAAATTCCAGATTTCTATGTAGGAATTCTCTTGGAAAACAGGCTAACATAGGGAGGGTAAAATAGGAAAGGAGGCGTGGAGTGGCGGTGGCGTGTGTCTGGAGTCCCAGCTACTTGGGAGGCTGTGATGGGAG